AGAAGCATTCAGAGACACAGGCTGTGTGTGCGATCTTCTGAATTGGGAATAGCAAACATGCATTATAAACTTCTTTCAAATTAGAATCTGTTGGGGAGATAAAATGTGCAAGATAACGTTCATGTACAAATAAAAACATCTAAGAACATATCTTTTATTCTCCAGTACTGAAAGCAGAACCGATAAGGGAGCTCTTGATGTGTTGTGACACAGCTCTTGCAAATTAACGTTACCTTTTTTGTTTGGTGTCTGTCATTTCAAAGCCAAGTAATCTCATATTACATAAGTTTTTCTTTAGTATTAATTTGCCTAACTATCGATCTGACCCTGTAGATGCCATAATCACACACACTCTTTCCCACATTCAGCTTCTTTTTTTTTTTATTTTATTGGTGGGCGTTTACGCAGTTGGCTAGAGCAGTGCTGATTGGGGAGAACGGAGGTGCGCTCACTATTGGTTAGTAAAGGCTGCCACTCAAGGCTGGCAGTCATGCATATGCTCTGGAACAGAATAATATTGCGTCCACATCGCAGGCTTTGCGATTAGCAAACTGCAACGTCTCAAATCGCGATTTGGTTTCGATTAAATCGCAAAGCTCCTACCTTAAAATTACAAAGAAGAATATTAAACTGTTAGTAAGGACATAGACCTTTAATATAATGAGCTACATACTTATATTTACAGATCATTTTTTATAATTTTACATAAATTTGTACATAAAACAGAAAAAACTGTATACAGTAATTTTTCTGTATAAAAAGGAGAATTACTGTAAATTGTCATTAATGATATAAAAGTTGTGAACTTACAAACATTGCTTGTAAATTTACAGTTTTGAATATAATTTAAAATAGAGAAATACTGCAAAAAATGAATTATAAAAGTTATTTTCCATAAAAAATATTTACCTCAGCTTAAATGCTGTTTTTGATGAGCTTTGATCTTACATGTGGCTCTGATTACCACCTGTGTTTTTATGGTATTTGTCAATATATTATAAATGTACAAAATTTTATTTTAGTACTTCAGTAGATTGGTATATTAACATACCAGTTAATGAAATATGTTTGTTTTTTTACTGTAAATATCAGTAATACAATCCATTTTATAAGGCTAACGGAAAACAACAATGCTGCTACGAGACAAATCATACAGGAATATGGGACTGAGGCTGTTTACACCTGGTATTAAAATGGGATTATGGGATGTGTTTTTGAAGCACGCTAGCCAAATGGGATTAAAATTTTGCCGGCTGAAATTAAGTTTGGAAGGTATAATTTTGCAAAAGCTGCTGTTCTCTGTATTATTTTCTGTTGTCTCCTTTCCATTCATATGTAAATTGCACATGCTTATGCAATATTAGATCTAAAGACCAGAAAAGGGCCATACAAGTGCACCCGCCCATGGACCTTAACCTCAAATAAATCAGGAAATTGGTCGAAAGTGGACAAAAGAGATGGATAAAAAAAATCTTAATACCACGTGTAAACAGGGTCAATTGTATGCCAATGGTATGCATTTGCAGTATAGTATTTCTGCTCTGGGCTAGTGCTAACATCTGTAATGTTGAAATGATATTGACCTCTTCTCTTCCGCTTGTCTCAAAGTGACCAGAGCAGCTGGATCATGTAACCCTGACGGTCCGATGCATGGCCCAAAACCACTCCAGCTGCCCTACTGCACCTCATCACCTCACGCTTAAACTGATCGCAGACCTTCAGAGAGTAAGACAGGAAAGGCCTGCAGACAGATGGGCTTCACTGGGAGATGCCTGTCAAAGAGGGATGTTTACACAATCCCCACCATACAGGACGGGTGCGACACATACCTTTTTAACTCATCTTTATGAAACATTCAACAAATACACTGGTTAATGTTCTGGGTAAAAGGTACATGTCAGAACTTAAACTTCTGTAACATTACCATTTAAACCAGTATATCTGTTCCAGAAATGAAGGGCAAACATCTTTGCAGTGATGTGTGGCATTCCCCATTTCTAATATCCAGTTTCACAACTCATAAAACAGAAGGAATGGCACTATTTTACGGTACGTGTGGCACTTGAAATGCGCTAATTTAGATTTATGAAAGCTACAGCATTGTGAACACAGCAGAAAGATCCAAAATTGGGAGACCACATTTTCCTTATGAAAGAAAAAAGGTGCCTGTCATGTAAAAGCAGTATATGATCTCACATGGGCTTGTATGAGAAATGCTCCAACATTCCTCAAATGAGGTCTTGCCCTTGCCCCTTGTGTCTGTAGCCAAGCACTAGTGCTCTAATTTTGAGTATAATGTAATACGTCAGTGGCTTTATGGATTAAACATACTACATATGTCTGCATTCCATCCCAAGCACATTCAGTATTCCTGACAAACGCACATGTGCGCGCACACAAAAAATACACACTCTCACTCAAGCATGTGTGTGTATGTGTGCATAGAGATATGCATTTGTTGACTCTGGAGCTTGCAGAGTCCAGACACTGAATGCAGAAGGCTTGTATTACTCTGGAAATTTATTTTGGATGCAGAATATGGATTATAAAGAATCGAAATCAGACACCAGCTACTCTTTAAGAGACTTCACAAACATTAATATGATGGCTCGGTGTTAAGTAGGAAAATGTATAGCCGTAACTGCCAGCGACTGGGACTCCAAAAAATTAATTTTGAGTGTCTCAGATTCAACAGTAGGGCAGACATATCCGTCTGGTGCTATAAACTGATAAGTAGATAAGTGTGAGATTTAAACTGCCTGACTCTATATAGAAAGCTTTAATATGGTTAGAGTAGAACCGTTTATTTTTTTTGACCGGGTTTGCCAAGGTCAAGTGAAATGGGTAAAAGAAAAAAATAAGAAAAAAATCAGCAAAAGCCATAACTACATGCCAAAGTTCTCTTGTAGCCCTTTTCCCCATGTTTCCATGGACCTCATAGTGGACTGTTATGCTGTTATGATTAAAAAAAAATACACAAAAAAAATCCATATATGAAAAAAATAAAAATAAATAAAATGTGTAATTAATGTGTAAAACAGTGTAATAGCAATAAAATAAAAAATAAATCTGATCAAACTTTATAGTAAAGACTAAAAACTTCTTGGGAAAAACAACTTACTTAGAACAATTTTATAGGAACATTTCCAGATAATTATTCACTTCCTCTATCTCTCTCTCTCACACACACAGACACACACACACACACACACACACACCCCTAGGTGGAAATTACAGTTTGTGTCAAATTTCCTGTAAGTCTCTTTGGAGTGGCAACTTGGCAGAGGAACAGAGTGCAGCTGTACATGTGTGAAACCCTGCTTTAATTGCATAGAGAGAAGAGAGCAGAGGTTTTTGGCTCAGACTGCGGTCCGCTGTCCCGCCTGTCAGACGTCCTGTGCCTCTGCAGGTAGACGGTTGTGTAGAGCACTTCTGAAGCACAGGTCAGCTCAGTCCACAGCACTTAAAATCCAGTGTACAATGGGACATATCGCTAGTGAACTTAATGTATTAAGAATGGGCCCAAGTACCATAGTGTCAATGACATCAGTGATTGACCATTAAAACACTGTGCGCGACAAAAAAATAAGGGGTAGAAAAATGGACATGTCAAAGGAATTGAAAGAAAAAACAAGTGAAAGCTGATAAACACAGGAACAGCACAACCTGACTAAACTGATTCCTACAAGTGGCATGTGAAAAATTCAACACTTAAAGGGACAAGCCGGATAATAAAATTAAATGAGAGAGAAGAATTGAAATTACAAATACAATTAACATTGGCGATATAGTGCATATAGTATTCAGTGTTATTAAAAGGCTCAATAATCTAACGCACATATTTAATACACTACGCAACAATATCTCTTCGCTTTGTGCTTTGAACTTCTCTATGCTGCGCGCTGTGACTCCGTGTTGCTTCAAGCACATCATTCTGCGCACAGGATGCGCATAAGCGCTTTGAGCTGCTCTGTATTTGCCTTAAGTATCATAATACTTTTGCATAATGAAAGATTATTAATAGCCTTTCTTTGTTCATCTTATCATATGTTGCTGCCTCATTACTCTGCAATACATTTAAAAGAAATGTCTTTTAATTTATACAGTAGTCAACATTTGAAGTGGATCAAAAAAGTTAATCAAAGTTGTCTTAAGACAAGAACGGGTATTGTTTTGGTTTTAGGACAACTTTGATGAAAGGTTTTGATCCACTTCAAATGTTGAGTACTATAGTATATATTTATATATAAATATATTATTTGTTTTTCATGAATGTATTTTACAACAATACAAAGAGCAATGTGTAGGCCTACCAGATTTAGCCCTACACTTATTCACTTTTATTTGTTACCCACTAAATAACTTATTTTTTTTCACTAAAAGTTTAGGATTTTATAAAATTATTGTGCACTCATGACTAGAGTAACTTTTGCTACTGAATTAGCCATTAACCTAGTATTTTTGTCATAGCTTCATTATAAAGAAAAAATAACAAACAAAAAATATAATCAAAATCTGTCTATATTTAGTAGATTGTGTGTAACATACAAAAGAGTGATGATCGACCTACACATTGAGGTATAAAAATTCTACACTCATTTAAAAAAAAAAAACTGTGCTGGTATCGGATCGATATCGGTATCGGCAGATACTCAGAATTTTTGGTATCGGATCGGTATCGGTTCTAATAAAAGTGGTATCGAGCCATCCCTGATTTAGATTTAGCATCAATGGCCTACATGTTATTTGAAGTTCGAAAAAAGTTCACATTCAATATAAATCTCTAATTTACTTTTTTTGGATGTGCCTTTAGATCACCATTTCTTATACAACCAACTGTACAAACACCACAACACTCTCCCTAAAAAGCACAATCACAGATGCAATGAGATGAGAGAGAGAGAGAGAGATTTAGTGACCTAGTGGGTTACATCACATCTTATAGAAGAGATATATAGATATTATAGATTATGTCAAACATTGCACACTCACTCACTCACCTTGACCAGTGAATATAGACTCCTCTCCCCAAACATAGCGTGTAGAAAAGAGCGGTCATCTGCACTCTCAACATGAGGCTGCAGCTGAGATGGCAGTACAGACAATAGCTCATACAGACCTGCAGAGGAAATAGAGGAAACGCATTACACACCCAGACACACACACACACACACACAGCCAATGCCCAAAGAGAAAATATAGACAGATATAAACAAGACCCAGAAAATCTGAATTAACACAGACACCTGAGGCATGTCAGATAGGCTATAAAGATTACTCTCCAGTGAAACCTTCTAACATGACTTGACATTATTATTGCTAGGGGTGCTCCGATTGATCGGCTAATGATCACTATCAGCCGATAATAACGTTGGGATGATTGATCGGCGGTCTCTAAAAAGTCCGATCTCAAAAAACGATCTCAAGCTGATGACGCTGCCGTGAGAAGTTTGGCTCGACATGCAGCAGCACAGTCTCAGTTTGTCTCTGTCCGGCGCAGGTGAAATAATTATAATGCTGAAGCTGAGGTACTCGCCTTCATATTTCTAAATTAAATAACTTACAAAGTAATTTGAAAACCTTGTGTGAGATGTAATTTCACAAACAGTGTGAGTGAATCACCACGCACGCTCTCCCTCTCTCTCTCTCCTCTCTCAAAATGCGCAAATAGCTTCAAATCACCACACATTGCGTCTGTCTATGAGCTAGCTGCACGCTGCACAGTTCACAGGAACTGTCACTTGCACAGTTGAGTCAGTGTCACATCACTAAAGTTTATAATTTGCATTTCTTTTTTATTCTTGCCCGTGTTTAACTATTCAGCGCTCACGCGCTCTCCTGTAGACCGTGCGCTCATACACACTCGCAGCGCACACACATAATGCCAGGTTCACATAACTCCGTTAGCAGTGCACATGTGGTGCGTATTTTTTCCGCTCTCATGTTAATGGATTAAAGTGTTCACTGCACTCAGTTACGGTCCGGCGGTGTGTTCAGGAGCAGTGCGTCTGTTGAACAGCGCATTGTTTGCAGTAAATATGAACATGGAATGACACGAAAACATAGTAATTACACCATAAATTCATATTATTAAAATCTATTGTGTTTCACAGTCAGCAAATGTGGCTTTTTGGCTAGGTTTAAAGGGAAAGAGCACTTTTAGATAAAGAAGGCAATAATAGATGGCACTCCTGGAGGAAGAAAAACAAAGTTCTTTATGAACCGCAGGATTGCTTGTAAAAGATTTAAATGCAAAAGAAAAGGCAGTAGAGCTGACTATTTCTGTCAATGTTAAGTTTGTGATAATGCAAGAAAAGTAGTTTAAATGTTTTGCCACTTGCTTGAGCAACTTAATATATAAATCTAGAAGTAAATGCAAAAGTAAAAAGCATTGAATAACGTGTTGCTTATATTTATTGTGTTTAAACATGTCTGTTAAAGATTGTATTCCTGTACTGTGTAAAAAAAAAAGAAAGAATTGCAATGCTGAAAAAGCATTTTCAGTGACAATGTTTAGATTTGAAATCAAAATAATGGATAAATGTTGTGCTTGTGGTAAACAGCCACGGATCAGTAGCGGACTCCTGTGTGAAAGCACAGTCCATGCTGCTTCTCCTCTCACAAGAGTCACCTAAGAGGGGAATTCCCCCC